TTTCCCCATTGCGAAGATCGGGTATGTTTCCGTATAGCTATCCCGAAAAAGGGATCGCTATACGGAAACATCGCTATACGGTGCACTCGCTAAGCGAGGCACCACTGTAGTTTGCAAGATGGCATATAAAAATGCCTATTTACCTCAAGCAGGCTTCAGTGAAATTTAAATTTCCTTCAGTGAAATTTAAAAAGGAGATCAATATGACATTTTAGTTCCTGTTCTTAACAAAGTCAAAATAGTTTCAGTAGAAACTGATCTATAAAACATATTCACAAATCCTGTGTGAATTCACTTGCCCGATTATTATTGTGCATGAAAAGAAATGTTAATTCTCACACAAAACATTTTTTTCAAAATTATTTCCTTTGAATGCATTTATAATTTTAAGATTATGTGCACACATTTTCATGCTAAACTCATGATATACAGGTACATTTCTTGCTTAGAGACTTTTTTAAAATGACTCTTCTTTTATTAACTTTTTAAAACCAAAATTTTGTTTGTCCCAATGGAGTATCATTTGAAAATTTTAACAAATTGAAATTAGGAAGCACCAGTCAGTCTACATTGTAATACTGGAATGCAAGGACAGATTATGTATGAATATTTGGCAGTTAAAAATCCTGTTTGACATTAGGAAAAATAGTTACCTTCTTCTCTCCTAGCTACAACAGGGCTGGGAGGAGCACCAAGACCTTATCAGGGAAAAGCAGAAAAGCAGCATATGTTGTACAGGCAATGCAGATGATAAAGGAAAGGCAGAAATAAAGAAAACTGCGAAGCTTCAGTTCTGAATAAAGTAGTCAAAGTGGTCTGTCTATTACTGCAACTTAAAAAAATAACAAGGTGAAAGTTTTTATGCGGAACGATTAGATAACTGTAGTTTTATTTTTCAGTGACGTAATTAAGTCTATTTTATAAAGAAGATAAAAACCTTAGCCTCTTACTCAAGAGTGATGCAAATTTAGGGTGCACACAGAAATGCCACTTAAAACATCAGTCACAGAAGCAACTCCTTGAATAAGACCAGTCAGTGTAAATCAGAACAAGCAACATATTTACAGGATGGATTCTATAGAAATAATTTCCTACTTTTCAAACTCCACAAGCAGCTAATATATATAGTCTTGGTGACCAATTCCACTTTTAAATCTCTTGTTTGACAAAAGCACTATGGCTTGGATCCTAATGTACTCTAAGGAGAAAAGCAGGTCTGCTCATACATCGGGGAGGGGTGTGCCTAATTCCAACTTTTGCCTGCAATATCCTAGTAGCATCTCCGATGTTGTTCCAGAAAGCACCCCCAAAATTTTTAAACAGAACATGGGATGCAGGGAGCTATGCTAGAGGAAATGATGTAAGAAAATCCTATCCCATGAGTGTAACTCAGACTAAAGAACTCAGGATTCAATCTAATTTCTGTGTGTTTGGCTGTACACATGGTACACATTACGTGCATTTGGTATCACTCGTTCATTGCTTTGGGTGTTTTTCTTTAAGCAGAATAGCATATAAGTGTTCTAGAATAATACGATTTTCTTTCTTACAAATCAATATGTACATCTTTTCTAAACAAACTGTTCAGACTTTAATAGAAAGAGACACATAGTAGTCAAATGAACCAGTGCATTTCCCATTTAAACTCTATAACCACATTTATAATATTTATCATTGTAATACAGTACTTTTCAGACACTGGATGAGTGTTTGTTTTTCCACAAAGATTAACTCACACTTAATATATTGCTATAAAAACTGCCACAAATCTTTTGTTCACTATTTGAATCATATTTAAACAATTATTACCTCCACATTCTTTTCTAGCAGGTGCAGGACTCTTAGCTCCTTAAGAGTAAGATATGCAGCAGTAAAAAGAGTATCAATTGAAAGAAGAATTAGAAAACTGACTGAAATATGTAGTGAATAAATTTGACTCATTATACGTATAGTCTCTGAGAACTTCCTGCATACACTTAATGTGAAACATAGTTCAACATATATGAAAATAACACAATTGGACACATCAAAGCAGCTCTGATGCAGAAGGTTTAGATGTCAAGCTATGAGAGTCAGCTAGCCAAGCTTTTCCTTCTGCCAGAAATGAGAAGAAGAAAGAATGCATGAGTCCCATACCTTGTTATACTAAGTAAGTCGAGAGGAATCTATGGCCATCCAGATTTTGGTATTAAATTTTAATTCCCACATAGCCAACTAACATAGACCATGGCATGAGGGGAGTTATAGTCCAAAATCATCTGAAAAGTTTCCCTCATCCCTGAACTAAACTATAGCTCTGTATGAAGTTCACATGTAGGCAACTTCAAGATGATTTAGCACAAATGACAAACCATTAAGGTACAATTTCAGTATCTCACAGAGTTACCTGATGGTGGAGGTGGTCTCTGTGGTGGGGCAGGGCGAGCAGGAGGTGCTCCTGGGCGTGGTGGAGGTGGGCGTTTAGGTTCCAATCCTTGCGTACCCTCTCTTTGTTGATTAATTGTTTGAAAATCTATTGGTGAACCTGATAATGGTAATTTAAAACAAACATTATGCGTGTTGAAAGATGAACCCTTCTTCCCCCTACAAATTACATTATTCAAAGCAGGTAATATAAATCCAGTAAATATGGGGATGGATCTAAATTTAATCACTTTTAGTGGTTAAGATGACAACTAATTTGAAAAACCCACAAAGTATTAAAGGGCCTTAAAAGCCAGTCAAAAACAAAAATGCCTTGAAGTAGAATATAATATCTATATGATAATATAGATTGATCTACCTAAGTGAAATCTTTTTATATTTGACGACCCTAAAGAGGAATATTTGATGGTCTTGTCCAGTTCATTAGAGCACAGAACTTGAATGGTATGCATGAGTCATCTGATACTTTCAACACTTCCTTGGAGTAAAAAAAAGTATGCCAAATAAAGCAGGTTAATCTTTAAGGTGTCACAACTCTGATCTTTTTACTGAAAAAAATACAGTTGCCCTCTGAATATTCATTATTGTTTTATCTCTCTTCCAGCATAAATAGGTTTGGACATTTTTTTTAATACCAAGCTTGCCATTTTTCCCCATAACAAATTAACATGCCATCATTCTACAGCCAAAATGAGGACAGTAGCAACCAAAGTCAATGTTCAACTGTGCCCAACATCTCTCATGCATTCGTATACACTCCACTTTAATCTGGACTAACAAAGACACTTTTACAGATTTGAATAGTTTTCATGATAAATTCCATTCCAACTCTCAGTTTTGTATGCAAGTAATTGAAAACACTTCATCCTCATATTTCTATAGAAACAAATTTGCTCGATAACCATTACAGCTAACAGAATTGTAAGAATATGAAAATTACACATAAAACATTGTTCCTTCTGTGAAACAAAATTATTTTTCATTTCTTTCCAAGTAGGACAGGGGAGGGAGAAGGAAAGCTGGATCTCAACTGAAAGGAGACCCAATCCCATGAAGAGACTGTGGAGGCTCTGTCCTGGGACCCCAAATGCCTCGCAACCTTAGGGCAATTAGTATTTAAATAAGCTGGTTCAGAGCACCTTCAATTTATGTTCCTGTATTCTATTCCTTGTTCTTGTAACAGCAACATATTTGCATGTTGCATCTACAGGGTAGGTAAATTGTCTCCCATGTAAATTTATCCATTGTAAATAACTGTTATTTGTTCCATAAGCATAATTGAAATGGGCTGACTATTTTTCTATGCATCTTAAAGTAGCATCTGATATAAGTACTAGCACTGCATGTATATATGGACAGGACTGCTACTGAGATAAAATTACAGGATAAATATAATGATGTGTGCTAAGGTAATACCTTGAGAAGATGTAGGTGGACCAGGAGTCTTGCTGGGTGCTCTGCTTGGTCTTACTGGAAGTGCTGGAGGTTGCCCATCAGACAGTGTCGGTGACTGGCAGGGGCTTGAACGAGGTGAGGAGCCAGGTGAAGTTCCAAGACTGGAACTTGCTGCTAGCTGTAGATGCTGAGGAAGAATTTCTTCTACTTCAGCACTATAATCATCAATATCACCTTGAAATAAGGTAAAATATTCTTAACTAAGCAGAACTGCAAAGCTGTCCAACTGTACTACAATTAATACAGCAAAGAGAACATAAAAACAATTAGCGACACCTGTACTACTTTCCTATGCTGTATCTTGTCATCAAACCTTTACAATAACATTGGTGTATCTTTTGGTGTACAATCATGCCAGGTGATACCTTGGGATTTAATTACAAGTGAGAGTTGCCTTCTCAGGTTTTAGGCGCCTGAAAATTCTAGCTCATGTTTAAACACATTTTAAAGTTCTAAAAAAAGGACATTACGTTCCAAAAAAAGGCTAATACAGTAATTTAATACAAACAGTATTGCTGAACTGATAGCAGGGAATAAGAATGCAAGTATGTACAGTGGTGCCTCAAATTACGAAATTAATCCGCATTGGAACAGTGGCCATAACTCAAAATTTTCGTAAGTCGCAGTTCCCATTGAAATGCATGGGAACGGGATTAATCCGTTCCAACATTTTAAAAAATTTTTAAAAAAAGCACACAGAAAGACCCATTGGAAGGCGCTGGGGCTTTAAAAACAACAACAACCAAAAATAAACAGAGCAAGCCCCGAAGGCTGCAAAAAAAGCACAGAAACATAACCCCCCTCAGCCGAAATCCACCCTGAAGTTTCTAAAAAACAAAAAGCAGCACCTTACCAGGCAGATGGCACTCACTCCCCAGTAACAGGCCCCGGCTGCCCAGGCAGCAGGGGCCCTTACTCATGAGTAGACCCATGCCTTCCGCGGGCCTTACTCATGAGTAGACCTGCACCAGGGATGGGCAGGGAGCGCACCGGCTTCCTGCGCCCGGCGGCGATCCGGAGCTGGCCCCACCTCTCCTTCCTCCTCCTGCCCTGCAGGAGTAAAAAAGTTCCCTGACCCCCTGCTCTAACCATTGCGACAAAAGAGCTACAAAGAAGCAGCCTTTTCGTCACCAATATTTTGAACTTCCCACCCTTTTCCCCTGCCTTTTTCTGTTCTTAGGTCAAAGCTCCGACCACAAGTCGAAGCAAAATTTTGCGGCTGGAGCTTTTTGTAAGTCAAAGTTTTCATAAGTAGGGACATTTGTAAGTCAAGACACCACTGTACTACTACAGGGCAAGGGTCTGTTGTTCAATACATACATTGACATGAATTATGAGTTAACTAAGCTGTGGGAACCATAATGCTCGGCAGCTGGGAATTATTTGGAATGTTCTAATTTTTATTCATTTTAGACTGTATAAAAATAGATGCACGGTGATACATGTCATATTTTAATAACATGCAACTCAAGTAGTGTCGAACGTCTAGATTATAGTTCCCCCTTCCATTCCAGTTTTCCTATTGTTTGTTTTAATATTGTAAGCCACCTTTGGTCCTCTTTAGGAGAAAGAAGGGGAATGAATAAATGAAAAAACAAATAAACAAACAAATATTGAGTTTGGCAAACCTTCCATATCATAGTCTGCAGAAACCTCTACATCTTCACAAAGTAAAGTAGAACTTGTTGATGAAGGCAATCCAATATTAACTCTCTCCAGACTCATCTCTTCTTCCAAGCTCTTAATCCAATCTGGGCTTTTCAAATTAATATTGATAGTTTTCCCAAGAAGCTGAATTTAAATCAGAAATCTCATGTAAACTAAACACAAACTTTTCAGAGTTAATTAGTTATATAATTTCTTAAAATAAACATATTAACAAAAATATAAAAACAATGGCAATTAAACATCTTAAAGCTAGTTTTTGAAATGTGTTATTTTACCATCATAGTATGCTATTTTATAAAGCCACATGGTCCTCTGCAAAATGCAATAACAAAAGTCAGTAATACCTTTATTATATCACTATAAGGTTATTGTGGGGGAACAGAAACGTCCAACAATTATTCAGGCTAGATGTTAAGCTTCAGAGTCCAAACAATGTGTCAAAATGGAGTCCCACCAGAGATTTTTGGATTTTTCTGTGTCCCCCTCCCTTTAACTTTGCTATTGAGTGTTGGAATGCCCACCCCGATGAAGAATCCTGTAAAGCTTGAAAACTTAGCAGGTTTTATTAGTAGTCTAATAAAGGTATTACCTAACTCTGTTTTGGACTTTTCACAATGTATCACTTTTCCCATTTAGCTCACCCCCACTAACCTATCTTAAAACACTACTTTCAAATCTAAATCTCAGCCTGAATCTTGAAGGTATTACTATTTTACAACACAGCAGGAAAAAAAAAGCTTTCAAAAGGGTAAAAAAGAAAATATTATGCCCTTTCCAACCTAGACAGCACAATAAAAGCTCTTATTTTAGGCTGTGTAGAGCTCTGAACAGGAGCACTCCTGTTAGGCCAAGAGTGCACTGTGACAGCATACTGCAGATCACCATTTGTGTAACTATATACTCTTGAATTGAGCCACAAGAAAATTGTGTATATTCGGCAAGCTTCAGCTCAGAATGAAGCCCTAAAATGCAGAAACTATGTAAGAGTAATTAATTGAAGATTTGTATTAAATCAACATAGAACATCACTCTAACAACCAAAAGATCACACTACACTTAAACTACTATTGCTTAGAAGGTTAGAAATACATTTAGGAGTATTTGATACCTCAACACCATTCAGGTTCAGCACATTCAATGCGGAGCTCCCTTCCAAAAATGTCACCCACATTTTGTCTTCCACAAATCTGTAAAATATACCAAATAGTACAGGGACAAATTACAAAACAAGAACCCTATTAGTGTTTCTGTAAGGTATGTGTAATTTGCCATGGCTAACTGATATGTCAGGCATGACTTGGTCAAGTGCTGGGTCATATGCCAGACTGTGCAACCAAAATATGCTCCATCACCTTTTCAATCAATTGCAATTAGCCTTGGCAAATTATGGAAACCTTATGTAAACACTGACAATATTTTGGCCAGACTTGTACCTTTACCAGAGAACATCAACTTATGCCTATTTTGTTTCCCACATGTTCTCAGCATCTCTATTTTAATCTATGAAAGTCTGTCTGGAAGGGATGACTATCATGGCCTATTTAAAAGAACAAGAGGCCTTTCATGCCTTCTATTAAGAAACTTATGGATATACAAGAATAGAAGTCCCCATGCTGTCATGCTTTATTTTATCAATAAACCTCTTCCAGAAAATGTTGGCAGCATATGACATCCTGGGTATCTTATGGTGGGCCTCCACTAGTAAGACCAACATTCTTAGCCTAAACCATATAGCTCCTGTTTATTTGGTCAGTTCCTGAGCCAAATCTACCAAACTGATTGCAGCCTGCTCTCTGGAACAGTAGAGCCAGGAACACATGTGAAAAGATTTCTCTAGCCATAGAATAATTTGTCCAAACCATTTTTATTTCAAAAAGGATTGGTTGCACTGAATGAAACTCCACAACTAATGGAGCAATTGATTAGCACCGCTGACTTTACAAATGTTTTGTGCAGTGCAGATCCCATGACTCCATGATAAAAAAATCAAAAGTGCTCTAAGAAGTAAAATATGATTTGCCTCCTGTTTAGCCAGTATAATCGTTCTTGTTAGGATATATTCAATTAATTAATCTGTCTCTGAAGTTATTTTAAACAAGTCTGAACATCAGTGCAGCTTTCTTAGCATCAAGACTGGATATGTTCAATTCCCATAATTTCAGTCAAATGTTCTAATATACACAGTACTGTATATAACAATGGCTAGTACAGAAACTGCCTTTTACCAAAATTTGCACTTTTTTGTGCAAAGGGATGCATTTAAGTATTGCGAGTAATAACATATCTTGCACAATAGTGAAGTAGATTACCAATTCATAATTAAATAATAATGTAGCCGGAACTTAGATGCTTTAATTTGAGAAACAGGAAAGGATCAACTGGGAAAATAACAATGTATGGAAAGTATTTTCCTTGAATGGAGAATAGTCTAACCTTATCAGTATAACTTCACCATAATTTGCAAACTTTTGAAGAAGTTCATCAATCAAGTTGTCATCAAAATAATTTTCTTCTGAAGGAGATCCTTTGATTGAGACCATTATAGTACCATCAGGAGGCCCCTGCACTGCAATCACTTCCTTGTAAATTTTGTGTCGCTCCTCAGCATCAACTTCAAAAATATCTATATCAATCAATGCAACAACAGGCCTGAAAAAAATCATTAAAGGATACAAATCAATCAATGACTGAGAAATAAAATGGAATCGTCTTCCAAAAGATTAGAAGTTATTAGCAAGACCAAGTTCAAACCTATGATCAGATGTTTTCAGCTCTGCCCTTCCATAATACAACAGAGTTCCAGGATTCCATGTGTAAATAAGTTTACTTTCATCGTGAAAACTGGAATTTAGAAGATCCATGTCTTCCGCTAAAATTGATATAAATAGTTATAGAAATATGATGAATCTGCCTGGAGGGAAATTCTCATTCATTTCATTTTTATACTCACATATAAACATGAATAGATCTCTTTAAATAAGGTTGAAGTAACTGTTGATACAAGTTTGTAGACATTGCTTCTAAGATTTTAAAGAAAGACCTCCATACAACTCTGAAGTGTGAAATGCACATGTATTCTAAGGAATCTGACAGATCAACAAGCTTTTTATCTGTTACCAAGGTCCTCATAAGAGGCAATCAGTATCAACCCAGCACTTGTTGAAGTAGGTAGTTTCAATCATCAGTCTTGCCTATGAACAAACAAGACTGCCACTACCTGAACACACTCCACATGAGTTCAGGCAAAACCCAAAGGAGGAGATAAAAATCTTGTGGCAACTTAAAGACTGTTATACAGTATTTTAATGTGAAGCTTTCTAAATCCGCAAGGGTTGTGGCAGCACCAGCAGCTTTCCTTCATGTTTGTGAAGCATTACAGACTGGATATTCAAAGTGGATTTGATTCAAATTGAATTGAATCACAACTGAATTGTTAAAATGCAGATTTCTCACTAATTGTTTTTAGTCTGAATTTAAATAATTATTAGAATCAATTCATTTTTTAAAGAAATCATTGATTTTATTCACCCTGTGGTTTTTTTTTAGCATGATCAAATGTTTCCTTTGGCTGTGCAACACTTTCATCATTGTTGGTTGATATCCTTCCAGCTAGAAATGACCTAGTAAGTCACACATATGTGTAATTCATAGAGCCCATGAAGGAGGAGAACAGGCTGCTCACCTGTAACTGTAGTTCTTCAAGTAGTCCTCTATAAATTCACACAAGTTACCCTGTTCTCTTCTGTTTGCCATGCCTATACTGGTCTATTATTGAGCAATGGCTAAAGGGAAACTGAGGAGGAGTCATTAGGGATTGCCAGAACATGCACAATGGAGGGTGTGGGTGAAGAAACATTCTATGGCTACTAAGCTCTGGAACATTCAGAGGATCATTTTGTAAGAACCCAAATGTTTAAATTCACAAATGAGCTCTGGTAGAACTACATTTACAGGTCAGCAACTTGCACTTTCTCTAGCTCCTCTTTTACCTTTTCTGTGCTGTGCTATAGAAAGAAAACTGGGAAAAGCTGAGGGGATAGGCATGATAAAGTTCTTCAGTGTTAGGTCCCCTGCCTTTTTTGCACAGTGAAGGGATTAATCCATCCCTTGATGTCTCCTTCTCCGAACGGAATGTTGGCTGTATTTCAGCCTGAGAGTTAGACCTGGCTTGAGGGGCATAGCCATCGTAAGTAATCCAAACATGTTTGAAAGTTGGCGGCTTCAGTAACATTTCTGAGCCCTTGGTTGATTTGGCAATCTTGCTGAAAGATCTCCCCACAGAAGTCATGTCCCATAATAGGAAAGCAGAGAAGAAGAAAATAAAGTCTGAGAGTTTGTTTGTTTGTTTCTGGATGGAAAGATAAGTACAGGAAATGAGTAACAAGTACTGAAAAGCCAAAAGGCACATTCCAAACAGAGAGAGCAAACAAACAGGTCTGCCTTGAGCAAGGAAGAGGAACAAAAACTGGGAGGAGGTAAAGGGAATGGGTGGGAGAAATCTCCTCATTGTTGAGTCCCCTAACTTTTCTGGCTGGTGATGGTATTAACCCGTTCCCGGATGCCTCCTTCTCTGAGGACCAGAAGGGCCATGAATTTTATTAGTTGTACAGTGGTGCCTCGCTTAGCTATTGCCTCGTTTAATGATGTATTCGCTTAGCGATGAGGTTTCTGGAGCGATTTTGCGCTCCATTTAATGATGTTCCCTATGGGGAAAATTCGCATAGCGATGTTCGGGACCTTGCCTCGCTTAGCGACGACAGTTTTAGGTCCCCTGTTTCGCTTAGCGATGTTTGACATCGCAAAACCATTGAAATGCATTGAATAGGCTTCAATGCATTCCAATGGGGGATACATTGTTTCGCTTAGCGATGTTTCCTATGGGGATTTTCGCTTAAGGACGGCAATCCGTTCCCACTGGAACGGATTAACCGGTTTTCAATGCATCTCTATGGGAAAACGTGTTTCGCTTAGCGATGTTTTCCCATAGCAATGTTTTTTTTTAACCAATTAACATTGTTAAGCGAGGCACCACTGTATTAGTTAAATTTTGTATTGTTATATATATTACAAAAGTCACTTACATAATATACCCCAGAACAGAAACAAGCATATTATAGTTTCTTATTAAATAAAATCATGAATCTTTAAGAACTGTATTATCCTATCAGAAGTAGTTTTACCAATTTATTTCTAGAAACTCAATTCATTATCCAACCTGATCTGTCAAAAGGCCACTTCCTTCTCCTCCACAATATGCGATCAGTCCAGGCTGGTGTACGACATTTCTCACTGGTATCATAGTCATCTGAAAATAAGTCATATTTGTACGTAGGGGCAAAAGCTATTTTTCCTTCTATAAAGCCTCTAAATATCTGTAGAAAGAAGCAAGAGCATTAGGAAAGCTACAATGTTACACTCTCTCTTAACAGAAAATACTGTACAGCACAAAGAAAAAGCTTCAGTTTCAATTTATAGGAGAAACAGGTTGGCTTAAACTTCCAAAAATTAAAGACAAAGTATGCAGTAAATTGTTAATTGTTTGAGCCTGTGTATAGACCACCAGGTTAATTTTAAAACTACATATTTTAAAGTCAGATTAAATTTAGGTTTTAAATTTTTTTCTAATGTCGTGTTGATCTAAGTTTGTTTCTGAAACTTTAAGTACTACTAATTTGGTTAAATTTTATTAAAACGTTAATAAAAATGAGCCAGATATTAAGAGTTTGCTCTTCCTTCATTAGGTAAACAAATTGAACGTGACAGCAGTATGCTACATAGATTATTACAGAATTATCAAATAATACATAGACCTTGTTATTCCAAACCAAGAAACATATTTTCTAAAAAGAGAGAAGTACGGTACATATTGCTTAATCTTCTAACATGGTTGTTTTCAAAAATAGGAAAGTTGTGAAACATATTTTCTAAAAAGAGAGAAGTACATATTGCTTAATTTTCTAACATGGTTGTTTTCAAGAATAGGAAAGCTGCTTGTTGCCTCTTTCTATTTTAAAGGTACAAGCAAATGACTAAAATATACATGCTTTCCCCATTATCTCTCAATTTGCTCTCAGCTGTGTATGCCACCATGGACATCTATGGCCCAGCTGAACCACTTCAGCCTTACCATTTCAGTCTGAATGAATTCTGCCAACCATGCACATAGCCATCTTACATTTTGTTTGACTAGTTCACTGAAGTCCCAGGTATGATTCAGTTTCACTGGACATTCTATATTTTGCCCACAGCTAAGCAACACCAAGGGGGATATTACATTAAAACATGTAGATTCAGACAAGAACTAGTGCAATACATCAGGAAAAGCATATGCAAGCTGATTAGGACCAGGAACAATACTACATTTGTAGGACAATTTGCCTTCATCAGCTTCTGGGATCTCTAGTGAGATCCACTAGAGAGTCTCTTGTTGCTGGTCCTCTAGTGCAGTACTTCCCAACCTTGGGTAACCCAGGTGTTCTTGGACTGCAACTCCCAGAAATCCCAGCCAGCATTGCTGATAGTGAATGCTCCCATGAACCCTGGCCAGCACCGCTGGTAGTGCTGTTCAGGAACATCTGGGTTACCCAAGGTTGGGAACCACTGCCCTAGTGCTACGGAGTACAACTCTAAGGTGTCACAGCCTATCTTGTCAATATGTAAAAATAGAAGGAAAAAACTATTGGGATCTCTAGTGAGATCCACTAGAGAGTCTCTTGTTGCTGGTCCTCTAGTGCAGTACTTCCCAACCTTGGGTAACCCAGGTGTTCTTGGACTCCAACTCCCAAAAATCCCAGCCAGCATCGCTGATAGTGAAGGCTCCCATGAACCCTGGCCAGCACCGCTGGTAGTGCTGTTCAGGAACATCTGGGTTACCCAAGGTTGGGAACTACTGCTCTAGTGCTATGGAATACAACTCTAAGGTGTCACAGCCTATCTTGTCAATATGTAAAAATAGAAGGGAAAAGCTTTTTTCCAGACTTGGTTGTGTCAGAGTGGCACACTGCTCTTAGCAACAACTGTGTCTCCCCTTTCTATTTAGCAAATGTTGGTCAAAACCTTTGCTATGCAATATGTTATCATTTGCATAAAAAATTGAAAGGAAAAGTGGACTATATAGATTTTAAAAATAACTGTAAAATAAAAATGAGGACCTTACATTTGCAGTTACTCTACCACTAGCACAACAAAGCCAGTAAAGAATAACACTTGCATGGTGACATTTTATACCGGATATTTCTGAAAATGCAGAATTCAGCCCTAACAGTGAGAGATTAAATAGTACCATTCTCAAGCACAAATAGACAGCAGCAAAGGAATTAATATATCTGTTTTAAAAAGTGAAATATTACCTGCCCAGCATTTTTTTGATTAATAAGCTGATCTCCTGCAATAAGAGCATCCCAGTTCTGCTGTCGAATCAGTTCTTTTACTTCCTCATTAGGAAGATCTATTCGGTAATTAAAATCCCCACACCAGAACACATAATCATGGGAAAAAAGCATTCTACCCTGAAAAGATAAAAAAAGACACTCAAATAAAATCAGATATGAACCAAAGAGCTACATACAGTTATCAAAAACAATACAGAATTAATGCATTTATAGTTTTGTAGAAATGAGTATATTTAACCCAAGGCAACATGTATCATTATAAGTAATTACATTTTCCCTTCCTCCAGAAATGTCAGAACATCCTGAAAATTCCCTGCACTTTTCCTCATAGCTGAAAGGTAGACTGAAAGAACATTGCCAATTGCAATGTTCAACAAGAGCTTGGGTGATGGGAAACATTAATAAAAATATATGAACTAACATCACACTATATGTGAACTTACTGATTCATCACATTGCAAGAATAAGTGCAATATGTCTGTCAAAATCAGAATTGTGTTTTTTTAAAAAACTTCAGAGACCAAACTCTTTTAGAAATTCAAAAATACATTTGTAAATTCGATTAAGTCACCACCCATGAAAATGACCAGTCTTAATTGTTAACATCGTAGTTATGAATGACATGAAGAGTAAACATCATTTTAACCCTATTAAATATTGGGGGTTTCTTTCTAGAAATCATTTCCTTCTTGCTTCCTGTGATCTGCAGGGTTAATTTAGTACAACTTAATTTGTCACTATTTTATGATGATGACCTGAAAATATAATAGCACAAAGTTAAATACAACTACAGAAAAGAAATAGGTGGGGATACTGTCTGGGAAAATAAGCAGAAAATAATCATTCAAAACAAGTTAATCCCTTACTTGGTATCACAGAAAACATGGTCAAATATCAATCACCATGAAAAGACCAATTTCTAGTGCTGAAACACTAGAAACTGCTGAAACACTAGTGCGGAAACACTAGAAATGGAAGGGACATATAAAGCAATTTAGTCTAACCCCCTGCTCAATGCAACAATCCAAATTAAAGCAGATCTGATATAGTCAAAGCACGACAGATTTACAGTCAAATATTTCTCAGATTGTTAAAACTTATGTGTTTGTTACATCTAACACAAGACAGAAGGAAGATTTGTTTGAAGGACTCATTCAAAATGTTTCTTTTGGCTATTATGTGAGATATATTTTCAGGCACTATAAAAACTGGATTGATAGGATACTCACAAAACATTTTTTAAAGAACTATTCAATTTTAAGAAATCCACTTATTTCTTACCATTGGGAAGCTCAATTTTCGACATATTTCTATGAAATCTTCATTTCTCTCTTTAACTTGTGACTGTCCTGCAGCAAAGTGACTGCATACAAAACACAGACTGGAGGTATGAAACAACATACGAATAGCTACTGCACCTTTATTACCAGTAGCTCCTCCCATGCCAGTCTTTACAGTATCAACTGCAACATCCCTAGAAAAGCAGTTAAAACAAATTTAGCTAAGATTTAAAATCTTTGGCAACAGAGATTATACTACATTACCAACTACTGTATATTATGTATTCCCAGTGTGGTGTAGTGGCTAGAGTGATGGACCAGGACTCTAGAGAACAGGGTTCAAATTTCCACTTGACTATGGAAACTCACTGGAAGAGTAGAAATGGAAAACTACTTCTTAAATATCTACTTACCATATTTTTCTGTGTATAAGATGCCCCCATGTATAGGATGCTCCCCACTTTTCTAACCCCAAATTAAGAAATCTAAGGCGGGGCTTAGCAAGTGTAGGAGAAAAGGGATCAAAGCACTGCAGAATTGCTTTGATCCCTGCTTTCTCCCTTCGTGCTAAGCCCCACGAGGCTTATCAAAAGGAGTGGGAAAGGAATCAAAGCTATCCCATGACTGCATGATCGTTTTGATCCCTTTCTCCCTTATACAGCCATGGGATTGCTTTGATCCTTTTGCCCTACACTTGCTAAACCCCATGGGACTTAGTAAGCAGGGGGATAGCAAGGATCAAAGCCATCCTGCAATGCTTTGATCCCTGCTTTCCTTTTGCTAAGGCTTAGCAACTGGAGGGGAAAGCAGGGATCAAAGCCCTGCAGGATAAGGTTGATCCCTGCTTTCCCCTCCACTTGTTTTTTCTCTCCTCAGCTTACTTCCGTATATAAGACAATCCTCAATTTTTAGTCTAAAGATTTTAGACAAAAGTATAGTCTTATACATTTTAAAATACAGTACCTTAAGAGCTCTATTAGGGTCGCTATAAGTCAGTTCTGACTTGATTACACAGAACATATACACTGTATTAGCTATTTGTGGAGATTACCAACAGTCAGACAAAAGAGAGGAAATTATTTCTCAGGTTTTTAAAGCTATAATGCCTGATCACTTGCAGGTATTTTTTATTTTTCCCAGGCAATCAGTTGGCCTGGAGATGATAAATGTAATGTACTATGTAAGAATGTTTTCATCCTACCACATTGAAACTTAGTGCTATTTCACTATGGCAATCTGGCAATCAGAAAGTTCAGCTGCATGGAATATACATTCCTAGCAGTGGGACTTTCGGGATAACCTGAATAGGGGGAAAACATAAAGGGGGCTTTTGCTTTCATTTTCAGATTGAAAATGAAAATCTGAATTCTGAAGGCTCTGGTACCATATTTCAAAAGAAAGGATACGGAAAGTCGTCATGTTATTTTGTGTTTCCTTTTTTTTTTTGTCTTTCCTTCACTTCTAGCCTGACAAGCCACCTGCAAGTGTTTACTCAAATAGCATTGGGAGGACTGTTGTCAGCAACTGATTAGTGCAAGAGAGGGTGACAGTGAATGTTGAATGGTAGAAGGATCTGGATCAGTTGGAATTTTATGAGGAATATTCTTTTTGCTTCTGTCCTTTCTTGTGGGTAGGATCTATGGGCTGCTGAGCTCCATGGTGCCCTCCATTCTGACTATGCTGTGTTTGTGCTTGTAGATCATATTTACATTTTCTTCTTTTTTCTAGAGGGGGGAGTCCCCCTTGCCCATTTTTTAGGATTATTTTGCTACTGTTGCCAGCAGCCAATGTGCCTCTAGAATTATTTTTGTGCTTCCACAACTCACAACTTGTAAAGGATCTCCCTCCTTCTCTCTCTCCTTTCCTTTTCAGGATTATTTCTGCTTCCTGCTAGTGGTGGATTCAAGGAAGAGAAGAGAGGACCTCAATGGTAAAGGAAGACAGAAATCTTCCCATAGTGAAGTTGTTTTGGTTGACTGGTTGAGGGGCTTGATTGTAGTTTTTTGTTTTGCCTTTATTTGCTTGCTTTTCTTTGTTTTTGTAAAGGGATTGTGTGTTTTATTAATGTTTGTATCCCCCCCCCGTGTGTGTGTGTGTCCCATCAGGCTGTTTTTTAAAAACTGATTTTTGATTAATTTACTGTGGATTGCCCTCCCCACCTTACCCCTGCTTTTTTCAAAAAGTTTGTAAGGGTTCTTTAAGACTTTTGAATTAATTCACTGCTGCTTGCCTTGCCCCTGTTTTTGCAGTAGTTTTAGAATGAATGCCAAGTAGAATACAAACGAGGAAACCTAAAGGAAAAGAATCTGAAAAAGCAGGTCCCTTTCTCGTTTAACAAAAGAAATGAAGACCCAAAAAATAATGTGGCACTCCCCCAAAGAACCCAGAGTTAATTCTGAAAGTTTCCCCCATGCACATCCATATATGTTCCTACACTAGCTTGAAACCATATCCTTCTATCTATCTCATCAGATCTTTCACAGAACTTTAGATTCACAACAGTGAATGATTTTTGTTATTTAGGCAGAGGATGTACTGGAGAGAAACAAATCCATTCACAAAGAAGTAGTAATTTTTAAGTTTGTTCAGGTATCTGCTATAAGATGGTATGAAATAAACTATTACAATATTAAAATAGTCGATCGACTGCATCCAGCTTGCTTCTAAGGGAAGAACTCTGGCATACAGATTTCCATAAAAACAAGACAGATATATTAAGACTATTTCAAAATGTGTGAAAACAGAGCTCCACTAAATAAATTGCATGACAGGGAGAATGTTAAGTTTAAAAGTCTCAATTTCTTAAAGTTTTTCCCCTCACAAACCAGTTTCACAGGTACAAATATGCAAAAATCTTACTACTTCTATAAATTGACAATTAAAGCTGGAAAGTAAGACAAAAGGAAGGACATGTCTCTTTCACTAGCTGTCATATCACAAGATGCTGCCCTATGACTTCTTAGTAGTAATTCTGGCCCTAAGGCAACGTTTGATTAAAAAGCAGAACTTAAAAATGCCACTGATACACCACATAAACATTTCACTTTAAATTACCTGAGATTATTTATTCAGTATGTTAGTTAACTGACCTGATAAATGGTGCATGCTGAGGTCTGATGAATACAAACAGGCATACACCCACCAATTGTTCTGAAGCCAGCAGAACGTATTTATAATCTCTCGAGATAGTCTTCTGCAATTCAACTGCCCATAACTTTTGATTGGTTGTACTGCCAGCATGGGGGAAACAATTTAGTTTTTACAACATGTAAATGCTCATGAAATTGTATTAAAAGACAACAAAAAGAGTGACCCCCCCGCCCATGTGATTAAACGGAAAATTGGGGAAAGTGTGTAACAAGAAGAATTTCCAGAAATATTTTAGCCAAACAGGAAAGATCTATAGATGGAATTTAGCTATCAACAAGAAGTATAGAAGTACTGATTCCTTTAATTCCTTACATCTATTACAATAATCATGTTTCCCAAAAAATAAAAATAAATAAATAAAATCTGCCAGAATTTCAGAGCATTTTGTTTTATTTTTCACAAAGAAGTACACTGTCTAATCATTCTCATTAGTTTCCTCTCATCAGCAGGAGCATCTTCCAGTAAGCAGGAATTCAAAAGCAAGAAAAAGCTTAGCAGTTGTGTTTGTACACAAATTGTAATCCTGATTCGTATGTAACAGTGAGCTTTTCCCCTTCTTGGTGAGTCCCTGGTTACTGTAGCTGCTTCCATTCTGGGTAGAAACTAACAAGTAACTGGAATACAGTGCATTGCTCTTGGATGATAAACCAGGATTTTCTGAGATTTCCGTTTATTAATCCGGGTGAATGTGGGTACTGTGATTTTAGATGGAAAACATATCTGAACATCTTTTTTATTGTTTTTAAATTTGTAAACCGCCCAGAGTAGACCTTTGGTCTAGATGGGTGGGATAGAAATCCAATAAATAAATAAATAAATAAACTTCTGGAGTCTTGTAATATAGCTGTTTTGCTGTGATAGCCTTAAAAAGGGCTGAGCCATATATTTTACTAATATAAATATATTCTGATTTAATTTAACTTCAATTTAACATAAATTTGGGTGCTAGTGCAAAGCCAGCCAAGGGTGTAATGCATAATAATACATGCAAAACAGCAATTTCAGGTCTTTTTTCCTTAACAATTTTAGCTCCCCATCCACTTATTTCACTGGGAATTGCTTGAAACACTCTTCCAATTTAAAAGCCAGTGCGGGAGATGAGCTGCTTTTTATGAGAGAAACAGATAAAAGCTGTTGCACAGAGCACAACTGCCTCAGAAGAATCCTATATGGCGAACAAATATCAGTATTTGATTATTATGTTTTAAATGATATAGTGCAGTGAATGATGAACTGCTGGATAGATAAGTGGTTTAGCTATCTGGCTCCAGAACCAGAGTTTGGGAGCTCATTTCTCCACTGTGCTTCCTTGACAGGGGCTGGACTCGATGATCCCTTCCAGCTCTGCAGTTCTAAGATGATAATGATGATGACACAAAAATAAAAATGAAAAATTTAAAAGGTTTCCAACATTTCTTAGAATTTGATAAAAAACTGCATACCTGACTTGATTGTACAGAGTTCTACAGCAACGGTACTTACCTTGCACTCACAATGTTTCCTGCATTTAGCTCTACCATTTCTTCAAATCCTATAGCAAAGATGTCGACAGGCTTGCTCCTCCGGTCTGGATTTAAAACAATAGGTTTAGGTAAATACTTTTGAGAAAACAAAATAAGAATAACTATAAATTCAGTCATGCTGATAATATAACAGTGGCTCTCACCTTGGAATTCACTGATGCCAGCAATCTTTGGTGCATCTAAAAGCCAGTCAGTGAGAGTCTGGTTTCTAAAGGCAATGCTTCGAAACTGCTTTCCACCATTGACATTCCATGTCCCAGTACAAATGCGGATTTTTTTCGGCTTTGAGTACTTATAAAAATTCTCACACATACTCTTCAGTATCTTTGCTGATGCTACAAAAAATCAGATGCATTTGATTATAAACAAAGATGTTTCATAAACACATGTTAGCACTCACAAGACAGCAATCCAAAAACACACTCACAACTTTCAAGCCTTAAAGAGTTATTGGACAGTAACACCTTCAGAAAAACAAAAACAGTCAGTCAGCACAGTTCAGATTTTTTCTTAAGTAATAGTTCTCCCTATTATCTGAGACCAAGTTCTCCAAGAATTTTAGATCTGCAGAAGAATACATTTCTTAAAGTTTTCATTGCTCTGCAGGACGTTTTCTTTGTTGTCCAAATTACTTCTACAAATAGATCTCCAGTTAAGTTAGTGCTCAGCTGGGTTTTTTTTTACAAAGTTACATGGAATAAAAACTAAGTAAATTTTACTTTCACATAAAGATGACAATTAGTTTAATTATGTTGCTTTAATACCATGTTGCTTTAATGTCTCTCAGAACAGGGGAAATAAGCAGTTATACATGGCTATTCTTTGTCATCAGTAGGCATCAGCATTCATTTTTGTTTGGACTCTGAATCACAGAATTCTTCATTCTGGGAGTTCTGCATGCCAAACACATATCCAAATTTTGCTGGACTGGAAAGCCTCATGGCCCAAGATAAGCTGAGCTCAGGCCTTGAGGAAAAGGAAGCTGCTTTCAATGCTTGTTGGAAATTTCCAGCAAGCACTGGGAGCAGCTTTCTTTTCTGCCAGGAAAACTAAGCTTGAGCTTGGCCTATGTGAGCCATGAGGACTTTCTTCCAGGTGAGCATAACTGAGATGTATGTCTTGCAGGTGGAATTACCAGAATGGAGAATTCTCAGCTTTAAGAGTTCAAATAAAAATGAATGCACATGCCTGGTCATCAGTATCCTGCTCTTCCTGGGCTGTGATGGAATCAACCTGTTTCTGAATCATTCTTTCCCACAGACCAATAATAACAAGGTAATTAAAGAAGCAATTGGATAACTTATCATGGATAGTCCAAACAGCCTATTAAAACCATTCACTACTTAAATTAATGATTAACCAAAGAATGATTTAAATAACACATTAATCTAATTGTAGTTTAATAAAGTTAATTTTTTTCATCTGGTCTAACAGATTTTAGATCTTTTATTCACCAGGTAATTACTAAACTTGATACAATACTTTTCTTCTCAAGGGGCTAATCATACTTTAATTTGCTTTCAAATTTTAAGACTTTCTTTCAGTATACCTTGCAAAAATATAGTCTTCTAGTAAACTAGAATTGTAACAAAAAAATCTAAGATTGTAACCAAAAACATACTATCAGAGCCCTACTTCATGTATCTAAAATTGCAACCCTACAAATGTTTACTGGATTCTAGTAAACTAGAATTGTAACAAAAAAAAATATCTAAGATTGTAACCAAAAGCATACTATCAGAGCCCTACTTCATGTATCTAAAATTGCAACCCTACAAATGTTTACTGGAAGTAAGCCCATTTGGTGTATGTCCAAATATATACATATAAAAGTGTGATGTAAATTATCAAACATAATGGGCACAATTCTGCTGTGTAGTAACAAAAAAACTAACATTTAGCAGTGAATTGTCATGTGTTAAGAAATCTTTGGAGGTATCTGATGCATGCTGAATTACGTGGCTCCTGGTGTAACAGATAAAGCCTACAGAGATTACTTAATTTATGCTAAGCCAATTTTTTACTAAAAGTTACACCTTTTGTTTAACTGCACAACAAAATTTCAATATGGTTGGAAATTATACATGTCTATGATCTGTTGCTCAAAAATCAGCATAATTTCCAAATACCACAATGAGAGAGTCAAATTAAATAGAGATGGGTGGAAATCTAACAAGAAGAATTGATATAATTTAGGAAATGAAATCATCACTACATGTGATGATATCAGAAAGGTACTTGTACTAACTACTGAAATGATAGTATAACATATGAACAGATCCAAACAAATGAACAGCTTCTCAGAATACTATCAGTGCCTTCTCTAAACCTGTCTGTATCCCATTTCACTCAGTCCCCAGCCTGACAAGCATATGCAATACATATGCAGAACTGTGGCCTAAACATGTACTGCATGTGACTAAAGATGTAGACTACAATCCATTAAGGTTCAGAATGAAATAAGGTGCCATGTTTTTCCCGTATAAACTGAAACAGATTAACACCGCAACTTTTTAAAAAATTATTTATTGCAGATGACCAGGGGAATGGGTATTTCTATATCTGGGTTTGCCATCAAAGTTGTGCACATTCCAGGAATAAACATTAAATTCTAACCTTGTTTATTTGGAAAAGAGTCCCACTGACTGCCACCAGGCTATTGTTTTAATAAGAAGTAAGCTCTGTTTTGGGGGTATATTGGTTGTACTCCATTTTGAAAGTACAGTATGTAAGTGTGTAAAGGTTCAAAAACTGAAAAAGGAATTCTATGGTTTCCTGCCCTACTATTATCACACCTGACCTCACTTCCCATTTTGTTTTTTTAGTTCAGATAGGGGGGGAGAAACAGATAAATATTCACAATTTTTCTAATGTCATAAATTCAACTTAAAACAACTAATTGTTCTATTGTCTAATATATCTGAGCACAGCCACTGGAGTTTTTGTGCAGAACTATGGGGAACACGTGAAGCATATCCTCAAATGCATTAAATAAAGAAGCGATCTTTTTGCACTACAAAGATAGTTGTGATCATCTTGTCTAGTATGTCTTCAAGTGCAGCAATCTCTATTCTCTACTTTATCGGAAGGAGAGACTTGCAACTGGAAACCAAGTTACACTGATTGTCCAGTGTAGCCATTCTCAACCAGTGGGGGGAGCATTGCATATTGGAAGGGGGTCACAGACTGAAAACAGTTCTTCACACAGCACCTTATAAGGTTTGTTACGTGATTTATAGAATTCTGATTCAACCTATATTTCTTTCATATTGTGTTTATGGCAGTGGCCCAAAAAAAGGTTGAGAATAGCTAATCTAGTGTATCCCACTAACTGGAAACCATCTCTGATTTCCTCCACCATAATCCTTGAATCTAATGCAACAAAAGAGAGACAGAAGACATGAGATTAGCCTGAATTTGCATGCAAACATGTCTTGAATTCTCACCATCCAGTCAAGCCACTATCTGACTGACAAGAAATGCTAAATTTAATCTCTAGCATTTGCAACTAAAGCTGCAGAACAATATTGTCTGAAACACTGGGGAACCACTATAATACTGGGCTAGATGGAGCAGTGATCTAATACAGTGCAAGGCTGCTTCAGACATGCTCATGAAACTGAAAAGGGAGCAGCCAAATACAGTAACAGAAGAATTATCTTCTTTTCCTTGCACCTTTCTCCTTTTAGCATAAAAGGCAAAGGATAGGTCACTGGAGGTATCCGCATATATGTGTATTTGCATACACATAAGTAAAGGTAAGTGGCTTGCTACTTCTAACTTTAAGTAGCTTGGTGATCTTCACTGACGGGTAATTAGGGAAGATGAAAAAATTACACATTTTATGTGTTGACCACTTTCCAGACTAACAAATGACTGGGAAACAGCTATTCTTTGGTTTGTGCACTTGTCCAAATCTGTAATGCAGTTCTTAATTAAAAAACAACTCAAGAAAACAAAAAAACAACCCTCCAGTATACTAGAAGAAAATACATACAAATTGTGTATTTCAAGAAAAATGGCATACAAAAATAAATGCAACTTTTGTGTCTTAATTTTTGTGAACCGTTGCAAAAGCAAACACATGATTGAATATTTGCACAATTACTCATGGAGAGAAGTAAGGATGATTTGCTCATCCCGATGACTAAATGAATAAAAGTGTATAACAGATTCTCCTACATGCATTCAGAATCAGAAAGTCTGTCAGAGAAATTTACATGATAAAATATTGCTCCAAATCTTATAGCTATAGATACTGTACTATACCTTTATTTAGACCACTAAAAATCCATTTGGTTGGAATATTCCACTCAGTCACCAGGACAGGACTGTCTCCTATCCGGGAGATTGAGTGGAAAATTCCAACCAAATGGCACCAGGGGTGAGGGATTTAAAAAATTTCCATCTCAAAAGTGGCTGAAGTTCTCAGCTCACCTTAAGCAACATGCCTGGCAGGTCTCTATCACGACCATTTTGGGACATTCATTCATAATTCTTCTACCCTATGCCTGAGAAAATAAACATTATTCATGAAAGCTTGTGTTGAATGTTTTGTTTTTAGTGGTCTAAATTAAAGTTATAACCTCTTCTACATTTGGATTGCGTAGAGGACCACATGGCTCTCTCTGCTGTTTTTATACTATACCTGATTGCAATGTTTGTTCTGAGACTATGGATGCAATAAGGAAGAAAAGAAAACAAATTAGTTGAACACTTATACACCACTAATTTACAGTGTAAACTTCCAAGACATTTTAAATATACAGTGGGGTCTTGACTTGAGAACTTAATCCGTATTGGAAGGCAGTTCTCAAGTCAAAAAGTTCTCAGGTCAAATCTGCATTTCCCATAGGAATGCATTGAAAACCATTTGATCCGTATTTGCTCTTTTCCGTCCATAGAAATTAATGGGAAGCTGCTATTCCTCCTTCAACCACTAGAGGAGGATATTTTGTTTCTTTTTTTCTTAGGTCAAGAAAAGTTCAGGGAAGGCAGGGAAAATACAGTCCAGGCAGTACAGTGGACCCTTGACTTACAGAATTAATCCGTACTGGAACGGTGGCTGCAGGTCAAAATGTCTGTAGGTCAAGTCTCCATTGAGCTACAGTGCATTGAAAACCGATTAATCCCGTAACAGGCCATTTTTGTTCCATTTTGGTTTTTTTCTGGTCTGTAAGTCAAATCTCAGTCCTCGAGTCAAATCTAAATTTTGCGGCCAGAGAAGTCTGTAACTCAAAAAGTCTGTAAGTCAAGCCGTCTGTAAGTCAAGGGTCCACTGTACTTTGAACAATTTGCCACGACTTCTACTCTTGTTTGAACATTGCAGAGCAATTCTCATCACATTATTTCATATATTTCCCACTCTGCAAAAATGAGACTTGCTTCTGAAACAGTGCAATGTTCCATTAACTCCCCTAATATCACCAGACACCCAATTATGTAGATGTGGAAAGCCTAAAGTACAAGCGTATGAGCATGCTGAGATGTACAATAAGATAAAGAATTATGAATGAGGCAACATCTTCATGCACACGTAGCCACAAACCTTGTTTAATATGGTGCCCAAACCTAGGAAAACTTAGCAGCCTCACTTGTCTCTCCTTCACAAATATAAGCCTAGAACAAACCATGGGTTCTTTCTCTGGCTTCTTGTGTGAGGGATAAGAAAGACTGCTAGGCTTGTGTGAGGGACAAGAAAGACTCCTGGGCTTGAATATAACATTAACTATGGAAGGAATGTCTTTGGCTTGTTATCTGCTCCCTCTTGCAGCAGAAACAGCTGGCCACCACTCACCATAATGCAACTCATAAAACAGTAAGTGACACCTGGAACTCTGGTTTATCATGATGTGAATAAGAGAGAATATATATGTAGTTATTGTCAACAACAGTGGTTTCCCAACCTTGGGTGACCCAGATATTCCTGGCCAGCACCGCTGGTAGAAAAGGCTTCCAGGAATTGCAGTCTAAAAACATCTGGGTTACCCAAGTTTGAGAATCACTAGTCTACAAGACGACCATCCACATCAGTACTAACAGATCTCTAAAACAAAGAATGAACAAGTTTTGAAATTAATGAAATGGAATCATTTCATATAGTACCATTTTGGCATCATATGCCTGATCTCTTTTATAAATGTATTCTGAAAATACTCATTCCTTTATAATGGATTCCTCAGATGCAGTTATTTACAACTATTAATAAAGGAAAGCTGACTATAAATTACTGTTACTTTGAAATTCGCTTGAATACCCAGAACATAATGAATTGGACAAAAAAACGCAAGTGGAAAGAAAATAGATGTTACAGAGCAAGAACTTGGAAACACATACCACGGAGACTGCCGGTGGTTAAGAGAGCCCGTGCTTTGTCTGCTAAATCACTGTTGAGTGTGTTCCCCAACAATAAAACATCAATAGCTTCCTGTTTTGAGCTATCAAAAAAGTTATTTTGAATTGTTCGGGTCACAGAACGTGCACCATCCTTCAACTTTCCAGCCTGTTAAGGAAGAATTTGTATAAATATTTTACAGAGTTGGAAAACACTGGCAGTTATAAATATTTTATTCTAAATGTCTACATTATAATCTACTAATAATGAGCTAATCTGTGATGTGTTTAATCCCTTTAGGCTTTAGAATTGTGTTTGCTGATGCTATATTTTGAATGGTGGTTTTTTTAAAATTAGCATTACAAAAGAGACCTATCCAAAGAAATCTTTTAAAGATGGCAAAGAATGGAAGGGAGCCAGAAATCATGCAGTGTAGTCCAAGAATACTTTGCCTTTACTCAAGCAAGCCGTGTAGTTAGCATCAACAAAATAAAAATATATTATAGAGAATTTTAAAGCACATGTTCAGTCCTTTTAACTGAAATGAGCTTGATGCAGACTTGCATACAAGAGTTTTTCTGTTCAGAATTAGACTAATGTATGTCTTCCTTTTCCAAACTTTAAACTGTTTTCAGCTTCTGCCTTATTTTTTATATGTTTCAGATATGTTTCAGATTATTTTTATGAATTATTTTTATATTGCATTAATTTTATTTGTAATCCACTTTGAAAAAAGTTTGGAAAAGATACTTCTTAAAATTAAAAAATATTACATTAAACTAGATCTGAATCTTTTGAGCACTGAAATAGCTATAGTTTCAAACAAGGAATATTATTATTGAATAAATATACTGTGCATTTTGATAACAATATTTTTGCAATCATCTTCTTATGGTCTTACTATATATTCTGTAAAATCTTTACAACCCTCTAGGCATTTAAGTATTACATTCATATTATAGATGTGGAGCTATTTTTGACCTAAAAGAAGATGCAAAGAGCAGTTTGTGCTATGGCATGTTCAAAATAAAGAACTGTATTGGACACATCAAGCCACTTAGTGTGCTTCCATAGCTCTTTGGGTTCTGTGCAATAATAAAGAGAAAATGCCAAAAGCCACTTCAAGCTGACTCAATTAAAAAAAAAGCTGCTCTTTGGTTTAGAAAAAGAAAAACTGTCCTTAAGGCAAACTAAGTAAATAATTCAACTGAAATCTTTACTGTTTTGTTCCTTAATAATTTGGATGGGGTAAATATTTTAAAATTTAAGGATACAGCATATTTGACAGTATTCAAGAATTACACTCACCAATTACATATCAGGCAATAAGAGGAAAGGAAAAGAAAGGTTAATTAAGATGTTAGATAGTTTGAGAAAAATTGAAATATGCAGTTATCTAATCACACATTTCAAGTCATAATTTAAAACAACAACCCAACCCTCTGATCTTAATTGACAGTTTGTGAAGAACCCGTCCCATGTAGCATCAAACAAAAACATGCAATGAGAACATCATTATTTTCTCACATTTAATACTATTCCTTGGAAAGGCCATATAAATACAAAGCTATAGCTAACAATATTATATCAAAATAGTGTACACATTTTAACTCAATTTTACACACATTCATGCTGCTCAAAATAAGGCAATGTGTACTGAACTGTGAAATTGGCTATTTGTAAATAAACAGTACCCCAAGGGTACAGTTGACAGCTATGTGACAGCAGAAGGAGAATATTTTGACTTAATTGAACAGTTTAAAATAGCAAGGCAGGACTATTAACAGCAGTGGATTGTGGGATTAGTAGCATGTATTCGCAAAATATAGCAAGAAACACATCACAAGGGGAATGGGGCAAATGACTATTTTTGTTTGAGCCATTTCATTGTACACAAACCTTGGATAAACTCATTAAGCCAATTACAATGACACAGAGAAGGCAAAAAGAAATTTTAAATTTATGTTAATTCAAGATAAGCTGGCAGAGCCACGTTCACCTCTCACTAGGCAAGAAATACAGTCAGCGATAGCAACAGCCCAGGAAATTAAGACAGTAGTCAATAACAAATCTCAACAGGACTATAGGTCAACCCTTGATAAAAACAGTATTCAATGCTTACTGTTAAAGCATTACTTACCTTTGCTTTTCCCTCCAGAGCTCCAGTTCCAGCATATATTTTGCTGACTGAATCACCATTAACAGACCACATGGACCTAAACACTTCCTGGAACCGAGTAACCAATTGAGGTTTTTCAGCCAAACCTAAAACTTCTAGTTGTTTTGTTAGCATCTACAATCAGAAAACAAAAGAACAGATTAAAGCTCAAAGTTCTATAAAACCATTCTATTTAGGAAAGAGTTCTGATAATTATAGTTATTTCTTTTTATTATCTCCTTCCACCTAAAGAACCTACAGATTTTAATTTTAAGATACATTTCAGTACACAGTGCCCTCAGTGGTGAAGTGACATGACAGACAATAGGTGCAATAACCTGGATTCCTGTCCAAGAGGATTTATAATCTAAAATTTCAACTGAAGCTTAATTCAGGCAATTGTACAATAGCATAGAATAGATGATAGGAAATAAGATACAAGTCTGTGCACAGAGTGCTATCCTCTGAAGATGCCGGCCACAGAGATTGGCGAAACGTTAGGAAGAACAACCTTCAGAACACGACCAAAGAGCCCGAAAAATCCACAACAACCATTTCCAGTTCTTGTTTGGACTGTAAGTGCCAACTGAAGTTTTATTGATTTAGACATTCTAGTAAATAATATTTTGAGCTAATGCATAAATTGAAAATGAAAAGCTATGCAAGGAGTGGGGAGCACTCCAAGCATGGTTAATTTCCCATTGATCATCTGGAGGATTACCTGAAGTAAGCCAATGACCTAGATGTAGGAATATTCAGCACAGGAGCAGCTATGTCATATTGCATTACAAATTAAGTCATATGGAAAATGAGAACAATTTTATTACTGTAGCACTGGTTAAAAAAAAGTAAGAAAAAGGAAGTGCAGTTAAAGGATAAAATGATAGTTTAAGAAGTAAGTGCTTGACCTGCAATGCTTTCAGCTATGGATAAATCAAGTTAACAGACATGAAGTTGGTTTTTAGTTCAGAAAGTTGGAAAACTACTGGAAACTAATCATTTCTGTTGCAGTTGACAGATAAAGATCAAAACTGAGAACAGAATAAATGAACATAATTATTATTGAGATTACAATACGTTATTAGTAACAAAAATAAACAGAAAATACTTCCAAACGATGGAATTTTAATTTTAGGCATTTTATTCCTTACAACATGTTCTCAATAATCTAAATAGTCTTCAAAGAATACAGCCATGTAGTAGATCTCAGGAACGCAGACAAAGCTTTTAGATAAAAGTTTATCATGCAAAACTGAGGTCAAATTTGAAACACTGAACTGAGTAAACCAAAAGATTTGCTGAGCACTTGAAAACAGTGGGCCCTCCAGCAAGATGAAGAGCACTCAGAAAGATATGCAAAAGATGGAGAAAAAACAAATAAATGGAAAAGTAATTATTAACTGTATAAATTTTTCACATATTGTTTGATTGAAAAGCATATATGCTGTTCCACCATGTCAACCAAGAATCCAGTCCTATCTTTTTCTACTCAAAGGTAGTGGCAAGGAGCAAAGTCTGTGCTGCACTTCCTACACTAGTTCATAAAAATCACATACAGAAGACACTATTAATGTTGCTGTGCTTGCACTGAGATTTCCTAAACAATACTTCATAACATGTTCTTTCAAAAGGTCAGAGTAAGAAAGAAAACATTACTCAAGACATTTAGAAACAATCCCATCCATCCCAAGTCATTTTGACATAGAGGAGACAGTTTTCCTTCCCTGTTGTCTCTACAAAAGCCAACTGGACTGGGAATAGTATTTGCAGATAGGACAGTATCTTCCACTGCACCTGGGAGTGGCAAGGGGACACATGAGACACAGCACAAGATGAGTGCTACGTACACATGTGTTTCTCCTATAACAGGAGGAAATGGAAGAATTAGCTAAGGGCTGAACAGTCATGCGACTCCTAGTGCCTCATTCATCTAAATCTGTAATTTGAGGCAGGTGGCTTACTTTGTTTATGTATTGTTCAACCTTTCAAGCAGCATCAACATCCACAATAAAATATTAAGGGCAATGCCACGAGATTCTTACCTCTAAGCCAACAAATGCCTGAACACTATTTGTTCTATCCAAACAATCCAAGCAGTTTGTTCTTATAGTACCACTTTGAGTTCTGTGACAAACACAACAAAAAGATGAATACTGAGTATTCTGCACACAATATAAAGAGTTTAAACATTGTTTGTAATAAGCACAAGTATTTTAAACAGATGTGTTATCATTATAAATCAACAATAAAAGACAGAGTCAATTTCCTATCTTATCATTGCCTTTCCAAAATTAAGAATAGGTCATCTCATGCCATTTTCAGGTACATTTAAAAAGAAAGACATACACAGAGCTCAACTCTGCTGTAAATATTAAGGTGTAATGTTGGTATTTATGCAACAGAGAACATATATTTATCTGTAAATGAATATTTGTGATGTGCTTGTCAGGAGCAGAATGCTGTATTTGCACAGGATTATTTAACCAATCAGAATGTATCTATGGTCAGTCAAGCTGCTATAAAAGGCAGTGTCAGCCAGAAGTCTGTTTAGATAGATAAAAGGGATACAATATAAGATAAAGATCTCTTAGGATATATATCTCAGACACTCAGATTGAAATATAAAGATATGAATAGTATATACTACGACTGAAGTTTAAATGTTATGAATACAAAAATATTACTAACCGAAAAGTATTTACCCCTGAATGTCTGTCATAACAAATAACTAAGTACTGTACTTACGTAATATTGTGTGTCTGTCTGTCTGTTTCTGTTTCTGTGTAAAAGTTATTTATTATTATTTATAAACCAAGTCACTAGTGTTTATTTGAATTACAACTGCTGGCACAAACACACAGTACATACATACATACATACATACATACATACATACATACATACATACATACATACATACATACATACATACATACATACATACATACATACATACGTACGTAGGTACGTAGGTA